CCTGGGTTGAGGGCATTTTCTCTTTACAGTGCTCTTAGCTTTTGCCATGTCAGGAATGAAGGACCAGCCCCAAACACAGATCTCCAGATGGTAATCAAATGTCATCACTAAGTCAAATGCTCCTAGACTCCCAGCTTAATTTTTCTATCAGGAAACAGCTCAGATATATATGATTGGGCAGATCATAATGTGAGAAATCCCCTATTCAGAATATTTCTCACCAGGACTAGAGATTAATTAAAAAATAAAAAGTAAAACACAATCCCCAGTTCCCATGGTCTGTTTTGTTTTACTGGTCTTTATGAATAACACATATGCATCAAGCATCCAAGCCTTCTGTTTATTACACAGCTATTCTACTAATCACTCTCTTCTGTCCCATTCACCTATCCCCAAGAGAAGTGAAGAAAACCAACATGCACCAGACAAAACAAAAACGGGGAGTTATATTGCCTTTACATTTGGAAGAGCAACTATGAGTTCAATTCAATTTCTTACTTTCACTTCATGCCATAAAAAAAACCATCTGAGAAACATAGGAATTGCACTACCCAATCAGATCGATGGTCCATATGAGCCCAGATACACTTCTCCGAAAGGGCTTGTCTTCACTAGTGATTTTCACTTAATATGTTTGTAAAAGCTAACATGGACATTCCCCAGTGTTTGGTCCAGGCATAGTCCAAATGTGGTAACTACCTTGAGCTAACTGTCAGTTAATTAAAATTGTAAACAATCTGAGTGTAGGCATATCCATGTTGGCCCAATATTTCTAAGTATATGTCAGTGGAAGCAGCAAGAAATCTCATAATGGACAATTATGGAATAATTTGCACATGGAAAAGTTCCTCCCTAGCCCCTGCTAGTGATTAGCTGATGACCTGAGGCATGAGGGTTTATATACCTTATAAAATAATTTGATCCTATCTAATGTAACGATGGATGTTTTCATTATCCAAAGAATGGGTGATCCTTTGCCATTTCTGGAGCATCACATCACAGGGTGCTACATGCCTTCGCTTCTGTCACATGCTGTGGTAAGTGGCATTTCTGCTACCTAGTGTTTTCTCTTCTACTATTTTGCTTTTGTTCTGTCATTTAGAGTTGGAATGTTGCATGTGTGTTTGATGATTATGTCAGGTAAAAAGTGTTTTCCATATGCTCATTTTGGGATAACATATGGCCCTGATCCTGTGAATATTTAAACACCTGCATTAGTCATAGGATGAGAGTTGAGTTATGCATGTACCTAAGCAGTTGCAGGCTCAGGACCAACAGATGTATACATTTATGTTTCCTACTCATTGAATATAACTGAAAGTAATGTATGAACACCAAAGATTACAGATCTAATTTCTTCTTAAATCTCCCCTCCCTGACTGCTAAGCAACTGGAAAACAAAATTAGAAAGATTTTTTTCCTATTTTTAAAAAAATAAAGCATAGAATACCTAATGTTGCAGAACTCTAGCAAGATTATAATTAAAATATACAATTAGATTGTCATTTATATGCTACACATTATACTGATGTGTCTTAGTTTACTCAGTATATACTTTTAAATTCACTGTTCAGTCTACATAATGTACTGTAACATACTATACACTCATTGAAAGCAGATCAAAATACGTATAAATTCACCTCTATTTTAAAGTCAATGCACTTAATTTTCAAATCTATTACAAATTTGTCTTTCCTTATGTATTTTGAAAATCACAAATAGAACAAATTAGGATAAATATAAATTGAGCTTTCATCTTACAATTCGTTTTATTACATTCTGAGCTCAGGGCCTCCCTTTCTATTTTTCTTATGTAAAATACAGACAGTTATACTTACAGCTATTAATACAGCTATTACAGACCCAGTTACCATTATTGAAACATTGATACCATCATTTATACCATCATTAGGAAGCATATCAGACAAGGATCCCTATTTAGGAACACTGTTAGTGATAACTTCAGTAGGAAGCGTATCAGGCAAGGATTCCTTTGGAGGAACAAACTGAGCTGCCTGTACTACATTAGACACCTCTGAGGTCAGGGAGGCATTATCAATGGCACGTATTGCAAAGTAGATTATGGTGCTATTTTCTATTGTGACATTTTCCGGTTTAAACTGAAATGATTCTTTGGTGCCGGCAGGTTTAGGTACCAGACTAGAGGTATTCACTGAAGTAGCATTCTCAAAGGTGTTCCTTAGGTCCAGAAGACTTTCACTCATTTTTATTATGTATCTATCAGCTGGAAAAAGCGAGGAATACAAGTAAGAGTGTGTTAGTAATGCCTATTATACTATCTGTACATGCATGCACAATACAGGATTTGTAGAACAGTTTTGTATCTTTATCAGAACTCCAATGATACTCCATTACCATCCCTACCATTTTACCCACCCTCATTATTGACGGGCCTGCTTAATTGACTAACATCCGTTCTCTGTAGAGCTCTGGACAGGATTCCTGTTAGAACTTATCAGTTCCACATTTTATTTGGGTCAATAGTCTACAGTTAGCTGATGTGGGGCATTCCCTCCCTTCATGAGCACAAACCACATTATATTACCAGCACTCTTAGGTCCTGCTGGGCAGATGAGTCTTCCACATGGCAGTGCAGATAACTGCCATTAAACTGCTGCCATCTATGTCTTCCTCCCCCATACTTCACACAAGTCTCTTTAGTACTAAACTGGAAACCTAACTTTTGGATGAGAAATGAAAATAGGATTTCTTTTACTTGTCTCTGTTGAGTTTCCAGGTCAAGTATAAGATCAAACAGTACAGGGAGAGATCCCTGCATCCTGGTCAGCATTCCCTCTCTTAATGTGAGCAGATTCTAAAGCATAGGCTGAGAGACAGCAAAATGCCTGCTCCATTTGCTAGCATAGTTAGTGTGTCAGGGATCTTGCTGCAAATGTGCCTGGCTTCCCACTGTCCACAGTTATCATTTCAAGGCTGTATGGTTCTGTTCTGCTCATGGGTTTTCTAGTTCTTTGCTTGATTTGAGTTCTACTTCCTGCTCCTCATCTTCTTTTCTATCCCTTCAGAGATGAGGTAAGGGGTAGCATAAGAGTGATCAGAAGATCTTCCTAACTGAGGTTATTCTTCCATTGCTGGCTACTCTAGCTGTAAGGCTGTTTTGAACCGGACGAGTAGCGCAAAGTAGCCACATAGAAGAACCTAGGCCAGTGTTTTGGGGATTTAATGGAGTTGTTGGTTTGTTCCCTGGTGAGCTGGTTGGCAAGAGCTGTACGTGTATGTAAAGTTTTTAATCTGAAGCTAATCTCTATGACTGCAGACTGTCTATCTTAATCTCTCTGGTTTGTGCTGATGTGCACACCATAACATAACCCGGTTACAACATACTTAAAATATACATTATGTACAAGACCTAACTGTGTCCCCATAAATGGACTAAAGCCTTGGACTGTCCATGTTGTAACTGGGTCCCCTGACTTATTTACAGTTGCAGTAAATGGCTCATCGTATATAATTTCAGATAACTGACAACAGTGTATCACTTCCAGCTGATTAAAACAAAACTTCCAACTTACCTTGTCCCACATCAAAGTCATTCCCGGGAGCTGTCCAAGACAAGTGAATTTTATCTTCTTCAAACTCAGCCTCAAGGTCAGTAATTTTACAGGGTGGGAACATATCAGTAATTCCTCCTGACGGAACATTCTTCACTACAAAAGAACCTCCTGTTGCAACTCTGTTGAAACTTCCTAGGTTTGCTTGAATTTCCTCATTACTAGTTTCAGGTCTTGGTGCATTCATTTTGATTTCACCTGCCCCCAAAAAGAAAAACAATTGCTCATGCTATTTGAATATTATAAAACTCCAAATCATAACATACTTCATTTTTATCTAGCATTCCTTCTCTCTTGAATCTACTTTTTTTCTTTGGCTTATGGAAGTTTAGTGCAAAAATTAACAAGGCTAAAAACCAAAGTGAACTTCAGGATCCTGCATCCTTGCACAAAACTAAGGCAGACCCCAAAAGCAAACCAGATTTCAAGTGCAATTGAAAGTAGCAACAGTTCCTATTAACCGTTAGGGTATTTAAGGTATTAAGCAGGTGTCAGTGGGAAGTGGTTGTGATAAGGTCGCATCCACCCATCTCTTCCTAGATATTGCAGGCAGCATAAGAATTACAACCTTGTAGGAATTTCCTTACTTTTCTGGGTTAAAGTTGGACACATTTTTATGTAGACTTTTTTCATTCAGTATATTCTAATTTTCTAGGAGTACAGAAAATTGTTTCTGTGTGTACGCGCACACACATGTGCAAGAAGGAGGATATGAAATGCAAAAGCTAACATTAATCTAAAATTAAGGTTGAGAAATCAGGCACTCAAAAGTCAAGAAATTCCAAAACCTAAGTTTTCTACCACCATAATATCTATCTATCTATCTATCTATCTATCTATCTATCTATCTTTACTCCTGCAGGAGTTCTGCATGACTGCATGCATGCATAATTAATGAGCCCCACAGCTTTTTATTTTTTTGTGAAGAAAAAGCTTCTGCTGAAATGTTGCTGCAGTTCTGCCTTTTGCCCACCAGAAGGCACTGTGGCAATAGAACAAAGCAGCAGCTCAGATCCAGCTAAAGAAGAAACAGCCTGCCTTCTTCACAGCGCCTGTCAAACCAGGTGAGAAGATGGGGGCTATGGGGAGACAAGACAGCCTGGTGTGGGGGGGGGTGAGAGGGGGTCAGACAGGGGCTTATATGGGCTAGCGGGGGAGG